AACTTTATTAGAATATAAAAAGAAAGTATATTAAATAAAATTAAAGATGTTTTTAAAAAAAAATAGACAAAAAAAAATTTTTTTTTAAATATTTTATTTCGTTTAATTTGATTGGTTGATTCGAATTTTATCATGTCGGGTCATAAGCTTGACCTGACCTGATGTTGACCTGAAAATTTGTCTACTCGACTTGGATTTTTCAGGTTGGGCCAAGTCGGTCACAGGTTGACCTGACCTGATTCGGAGCTCTAATTTTTCAAGTTATTTCAAAAGATTAGCTTCAATAGTATCAACCTATGAATTATATTGATCCCAATATATATAATAATTTAATGATAGTACTGAATAGAATAATATTATTAGCATGCTCTCTCCTAATAAAACTCCTAGACCCTCTAAATACCAATAAAATATTACAAAACCTTGAACTCTAAACGAAATGATTTTTATATGCAGATATATTACAACCTATCTTCTACTGAACGCATGGAATATTACTTTTATGTATCTAATCCTTAAACTGAAATCATAAAAATATGACTTAAATAATACCAGATCTATTACATTATTAGAATGCTTATGAAATACTTTAGTTTAATGTTTCAGGCGAAACTGTTTTGTGATTGGTGAAATGTTTCGCCTTTTTAGTCAAGTTTCAAAACTCTTGCCCAAACTTCCGTAACCTCTGAAATCTGCCCAAATTTCCGTAACCTCTGAAACCTGCCTAAATTTCTAGAACCTCCGAAACTTGCCCTAAATTTCATAATTCTGAAATCTCCGTAACCTCTGTAACCTTCAAATACGTGTTCTGATCACAGATTTTATATAATTTTATTAAAAGGATAAATAACAGTTATGAAATAAAAAATTGTTTAAGATTCCAATTTAACAGTTTATTACTTTTTTATTATTGTAAAATCATATTATATACATCAATCAAAAAACAAAACTTTACAAATTATTAACTATACCATCAGCTGCTGCGATTGGATCCCATTTTATGTCTGTCTCCTTTTCTTTTTCAACTACATTTTGATTATCTTCTTTCTCCGAATCCTCTTCCAAACTATCCTTAATGATTTTATCTAAATCATTAACAAATGTATCTACATCTAAATTCAAAAACCTACTAATTATCAATCAGCTTCTTCACCAAATGAATTTATTTCTGCATCATTAATACCATTATCTTCTTCTATTATTTCAATAAGATCTTCATCAAGATTTAAATGCGCATTAACTAAAATTTCACAGATTTCATCACTTGTTTTTTCTATACTATAATATGTTAATTCTTGCTTTACATATGCATGATAATAAGCTGATAATTTGTACATATTTTCAACTTTATTTAACCACAGCCGATTTCTTCTTTTACCATATAACCAGCCAAGATTAGACCAAATCCTTTCACATTCAGCTGCATGGGGTATAACTGATAGTAGTTTACTAGCTAATTGTACCAAATAATCTTCTCTTTCATTAAAATTATCTTCCATAGATATCCACTAAGAAATTGGTAATTCAGTTTTACCTAATTCGATATCAAATGGGATTTGACATTTATAAAATAATTTCATTTGTTGCATTAATTCACTTCGCTTTCTATTTGATTTTCCCATTTTTCAAAAATTTCATCTGCTGTCAATAAGAGTTCCCTAAAAGTTCCTCGCGTTCAGCAAATATCTAAGGTTAAAAAATTTAAATATTAAAATCAAAATAAATTAATTACCATTTTAGTTAATTTTTAATTATTAATTTTTCTTTTAAAAAAAAACAACCTTTATAACCCGGATGCAAAAAGAAGCACAATAAGTATATTGGATCAGCAAATTCAACATAACGTTTATTAAATATTGCGATACATTGATGATGAAAAACATGATAATCATTTCTAGGTAACTTATTAATTGCAGCCCCAAACTGAACTAATCCAATAAAACAATCTGCAAGCGTGCATGTTTGTGATTCTAATTTTAAAATTGCTTTTTTGATGGGATGCAAAGCAAATGTTAGTGCACATACATCATCAAAAAAAGCATGGAATCGTAAAATTGATAAAACTGCTGGCGGAAGAAGATCTGTATCATCAAATCGTAACTATAATAAAAATAAATAATTTTTAGTTAATAAATTAAATATAATATTGATATAAACATATGAGTAGTATTCTATTAAAATTGAGATACAGATCATATGATTTACTATGTCTCATAACCCACTTTTAATAGATCAGCTCCCATATAATAACTTTGATATTACCTTTATTAAAGCTTCTTTATGACACTGAATAGAATCAATACAATTAAACATGGTATGCCATTGAGTATTGACCCATCATTTTAAACCACCTCCATTTATTTGGCAATTTGCGGCTTCTTTTTTTAAAGCTGAACCTATTATTAATAAATATAAAAATGAATTTTTTTAAGCATTATAATAAAACGGGAGAAAAATTATAAAGAAACTTACCTCCTTGATAACTTTTTTTGAAAAAAGTCACTATTGTATTGTATCGAGTTAAAATCCGATTTGCAAAAGAAGTAGTACATATACCCTTGGAAATTAGATTGATTGCATGAGCAATACAACAAATATTAAGGATATTTTGATATTTATCAGTAATTATTTTACGAACATTTTGAATGTTTGGTCTTGCATCTGATACTATTGCTAAAAATTTTTCTGATCCAATTTTATTAATTATTTCTTCTATTTCATTTGCTAAGAAGAGACCAGTATGACGTTCATCTGACAAATTTTTTAAGCACCACAAATATTCTTTATAAGAGGGTGTATGAATAAGAAAATTCTAGATAGATTCATTTGTTGTATTGATCCACCCATCGCATGCTTTAAATTTAAAAAATTAAAAAGAATAATAAGTTTATAGTAATTAATAAATTTAAAATATAGAAAATAACTTTATTACTTACATATTGTTAAATTTGTAGAATTTTGTAACTCCCTAATAATCTTGCTATTTACGACAGCTACTTCTTGATCTAAAAGTTCACCAGAGAGATTTCTTTTGAAGAAGATAAATATCCTAGATGTAATGTTTTTAAAACTCTATAAAGAATGGATTTTCGATCGCATGCCAGGGAATATCGCATATAACAAAAGATTTCACACATGTTCGATCAATTTCATGGATTTTTTCTGAAGGGAGCTTTGAGCTTTCATGAAAATCTGTTATTTTTGTTTGTTCAGTCCCACCATCAAGTTTTCGTTTTTTATTTTGTCGATTACTTACAAAAATTTCTGTTTTTGCAACAAGTCGGCTTAAAAATATCTGTTTTACTTCTAATGGAACTTTTAAACAGTTATTAGCAAGATGTGATTCTAAAACTTGAGGTGAACCTTTATGCCAAAAGGTATTACAGTAAAGATAAGTAGCTTCATAATGGCCTTCTGATACTTTTTTTTCTTGCTTAACATAGGTTTCCCATACAAGCGACTTTGGCCTGCCACTAGAACTTTTCTGTAATTGTTGTATATTATCTTGTAAAATTTGAGGAGAGGTTTGAAAATCTCCACCTGACATATTGGGTATTTAATGAACAAACTGCGCGCATTATAATAATTACTGCGCATTTAATATGCATATATATGCTAATCAGATTTCATTTTTAGGTTAATTAATGCCCATCTCTATTTTAGGAGGTTTTCAGAGATTACGAACTGTTTTGGAGGTTTCAGACTATTTTGGAGGTTTCAGAAATTTGGGCAGGTTTCAGAGGTTTCGGAGGTTTCAATTTTTTGATCAGTGACGAAACTAATTTTACCGAGTTTCAGAGATTTCGGCTGCCGAAAGGTTTCGGTTTTGTCCGAAACATTACTTTAGTTAAACTCATTAATAATTGACTCCTTGAAACTTTATCTAAACATTAAGTTCTAAATGGATATAATTTTGCTAGACTTCTACACAGATCTACCAAAGACCCTATATTCATACTGGATCACATAAAAAAGATAAACATTTTAATTGTAATCAACTTTAGATTTTATTCCAAGACATATCTAAAGCTCTGATAAAATTAATCTTTGCATACTCTATACAGCACTGTTAAGATTATATCTACTCTTTATCTTTATTGAACTAATATCTTTATCTTTGCTTTTTATTTCAATCAAGTTTTAATTACACTTATATTTCCAATTCTTTTAAGAATCGATCAAGGTGAGATCATTTCACTAATCTTATGATACATATATTTTGACTCTCTCTTATATCAGGTTCAAAATATAAATTTGGGATATAACTTTTAATTATATCATCTTTCAAACATATTATTGAAGTATCTTGTCACAATTTATCTGCTCATATCCTAGCTCTAATATATATGAATGATACCTTATAACTCTCATAAGCTTCTTATAAGCTGAGCCAGCTTATAAGCCTTATAAGCTATGTTTCTAAACTCAGCTTGAGCTACTATAAAACAGCTTGTAAGCTAATTAAGCTGGCTTGTAACATGGCTCAGCTCATAGTATAACTTGGCTCATTAGCTTAGAATTTTTCATTTTCGAAAATACCAAATTCAGCAAATTAACTTTAAAGAACAATCTTCTAGACAATGATTTCTTCAAAGTTAAATGGTTCTAGTAACATTTTCTTCGAAGAAAATGATTCTAGCAAAGTTATTTCGAAGAAAAACAATTTCAGTAATATTTTTCAAAAAATAATATTTCTGAAGCATTACTTTAAAAAAATGCTTTTATAGCATTACTTTTAAAAAAATTTTTAGGAGCATTAATTTTTAATAAATGCTTTGGGAGCATTAGGGAAAAGCTAGAAATTATGTAATTTAATAATAGATAGATACCAGTCAATAATAGTTACACAAATCCTTTTTTTAGATAAGTTCATTAGCTAATCATATTGCAATTTAATTTTACATATACTGCACATGTAATGCATATACTATGTAAGTATTACAATTTTTGCATTACAATTTTTGTTCAACGTTAAACTTTAATTTATATATTAATTTTCACACTTTTTTCTTATGATTTCATTTTACACTAATTTTAAAAATGTAAAAGCCTTTTGCAAATTTATTTATGATAAAAAAACCTATTTCTGAAAGCAAAAATACTCTAAGAGTTACACTCATAAAATACCTATAAATAGTATGTAAATGCCTTTGCATTCTCTATAATAATAGAAAGTCATAATCCTACACCAAAAAAGGAACTTTAACTTCAGATACAAAGTAGCTAGCGAGAAATTAAAAAAAATAAAGATTATATTAGAAACCTTATTTTCAATTTATTAAAAATACCAATTCAATCTCCTTCCTTTACTTTTATTTCACAACCTTTACAAAAACTCGCAACTAAACCTTCACTAATACTTTTAGAAATTACTTCAAATCCTTTCAATAAAACTCAAATTTTACCTTATATATTAATGCAATAATATTTAGTTGATATTATTTAAAAAGCCAAAATCAAATTGTATATATATACCAAGTTATCACAAGTAACAACATTATCAAAATCCATTTCTAATTTTTTACAAAAATTAAAAAACTAGAAAAGATTATAATTATTGTGAAAAAGAAATTTGAGCGATTAAAAAATAATACAGCAACTCAAAAATGATATTGTGAAAAAAAAAGAATCACTAAAGATGGTTCTCATAATTATTTTTAAAATTTTTAACTAGTTGTAACTTAAGTTACAACACTTTAAGTTGCAACATTTTATGAATTTTTATATTAAAATAAATTTACAAGGAGTTGCAATCAAGTTGTAACTCAAGTTGCAACTTACTGAGTTGCAACTTCTTAATTATGGTGCTCATCTTTAAGGATCATTAAAAAAGAAAATATTGTGGAAGTTTATAATACATCAGGTTTATCTTATTTGATGAAAGATCCCAACCTTTTGGAAAAGATGCATAGTAGCATTGAATTTGGTATTACAGATTACAAATAACGTAAAGAAGTAATTAAGATGCGAACAATCAAAAACCTTTGTGAAAAAATAGAAGAGAACTATAATATAAATATGTTAAAATTAACATTGCAAAATTATTTGCAACCTTGATATTCAGGAACAAAAAAGTGTAACAATATCATCATCCTGTACAAATACGTTTGACAACTATAAGAAAAAATGAAATGAATAATCATATTGATGAATATTATTATTTGATATCAGTCAAAGGTGCAAAATCATTTGCTTCCGCTTTTTCACAAGATATTGTTTTAATTACAAGATGATAAGGATAAAGAATATATATTCTATATTTTACTTTATATTTTACTTTATATTAATAGAATATTTGTAATTCTAATTAATTAGATAGGATAGACTAATTAATTATTAATAGCTTGTATTATTACATACTATATTATTTTTTTGATTTTTGTGAAATTGAAATAGTCTATTTTTTATAAAATAAAAATCAATAATTATTATCACAATATTTTTGAGTTTATAATGTGATATATATTATAAGTTTTAAATTATTATCAAAATCAGTAGCGAATTAATAGTAAAATTTTTTCTTAATTATTTATATTGTTATTAGGTTCCATTAGGTATTGCTGTAGTTGAAAAAACATTTAACGTAATACAAACATCAAATGAACCCATATCAATTTCTGAT